TAATCTGTATACATATATAATGTATAATAATTGAAATGTGACTGTATTTTACAAAATTTTTGTCTACTAAAACACAGCTAAGACGAGTTACTTTGTACAGACCAAAGGTCAGTTTTATGTTATTTTATATGGTAACATGAGTGCATGTGAGCCACGTCATTCCAACTTCTGTATTGTTAGCCAGGCGTGGCTGAAAGGTCAATATAATAAAGTAATAGATATATATAAATATATAATTTTATGAGATTTAAGCGATTTAATGTAAACTTTTATGTTTTCATGTTTTGTATGTGAAATTTGAAAATTTTCTGATGCATAACAGTATTTTTAATCTTAAAATGAATTATGTTGCATGACAGATAAGGGAACATGCGAAAAGAAACAAAAGGCATGAGGAAAAACATTGCTTTACATACCTTACGACTTAATAAAAAATTTGATATTTTGCGAATGAAAGCATTGTAATGTTTACTGATAATCTGCCAAATTTTGTTAATATTTGCTTCCTAATTTAAAAGTTATAGCATGAAAACTATAGCAAGCATAAAATGGTTATGAGGTCGGTCCGAGACCATGCTGAAAGAGTTAACTTGCATAATACTCAACAGTTTCTTTTATTTTTGATGAAGGTTAATCTATTGTTCAGGCTTATATGGGTTTGCAGAACAGGATTTGTCAGCTGTTCCTGATCCTGGCTATCCATTATGGTCTAAACTCATTGTTTTTTTTCTTTCCGGTGTGATTTATTTTCATTATTGAACCTATTTCTGTTGTACCTGGAGGTGCGTGTCTGATGTAAGACAATTCAGTATTTGAATGTATTATTTTTCCCACCTTCTAATATTGGGGGTCATTTTTAAAACTACCTCTGTATTATATACTTTATATTCCCCTTCTCATATTCTTTGTCAATTTCTTCACCCTGTGTTTGGGGAGGGAGTTTTTCATGTGATTTTTTACTTTGACTCTTTGTTAATTTTACAGCTATTTCACACTAATTGGTTTCCTGTTCAGGAGATGCTTGCCAACAGGATTTGATTAGGGTTGTAGCATTTTGTTTTGCTTCTGGTTGTCATTCTCTTCTAGAGACCTGTATGTAATGTTCACTGATGCACACTACACCTAATTGAAAATAGTAATAATTGGAAACCATAATTTTGATTATTTTTGTGTGTCATGACACTGATTGAGTTGAATCAACTTGAGTTGATCAAAAATAACAGGGAAATGTCATAATGGCAATATTTGGAATACTGAATTATTGAATTAATTGGGAACACTAATTTTGATTTCTTCATTGTTTTTGTGACATAAATCTATGATATCATAATTTTGATTAATTAGCTGTTGGAATAATCAAAAACAGTAATAATTGGAAATATTAATTTTGGTTTGTTGATTATTTTATTAATCGATGTTATCATAATTTTGGTTTAGCTACTTGTTTTTCAACAGTCTCATTCCCTCTTAACTCCTTTGCTGCTTACTTGGTGGATTACACTGACCATGTGACCCCTAAAGTGACCATCAGACTTTCCATACTATAACTTTTAAAATGATTTGTGTATCTTCACAAAATTTTTCAAGTTTTTAATAAGTAATACATTTCTTTCTTAGAGAAAAAATCAGAGTCTGTAATTAAGTATTTTTATTAAAAATTTGCCCATGAATATATGGAGTCATGAAAATTTTTAACTTCGTTTGCATAATCTCTATAATCTTCTAAATAAATATCAAACATTTTTCTCCAAAAAACTATTTTATCTGCTGTTTTCTCTACCGTAACTCTATATGGGGTCATTCAATAATAACCATAAAACTTTAAAGGTTGAAAAATGCAAAATGAAGTGAATAGTACTACTATATTCTCTTTAGTATTGACCAAGATTTCCTCTCAGAGTTTCTACTTCTAACCTTTTCACATCTGTTTCGTATGTTATTTTACTTTTAGTAGCTGAAGTAGAAACCTACTGATGATAAAGTAATGAATCACTGCTTTTGCTGTTAAATTGTTTACGTGACACCATAGGTAGAAAATAAGTTCATGCTGCACTATTACCAGAACTCTCCCAAATAATTTATCGTAATCCGGATCCAAGAACACAGTGGGAGATGATTATTGGCTTGTTTATACTTCAATTGTTGTAAGAATAATTGTTTAATGTAATTTAAGTGCAAGAAAATATTTGATATGGCTATGTACAAAGTCTGGGCTGATTCAATAAACTTGGTAGATATTTGGATGTTAGTTTCCCTTCCAGTTTGGACAGAATTTAGCAGTATAAGTGTACAAAGTGTTTAAGTGCTTATGATCATGTATATACATTACTACTATTTACTTATAAATGCTTAATTTTTAGCTGTTTTTCTGAAAACATAACACAATAAATTAGAAACATACATAAAAACAATGATTCCTAGTACTTATGATGTTACAAAATTGATTTATACTTGCACTTCATACATGTTAAGCCTTGTTTATTATCTCATATGAAGGGGCAAGACAAATTAATTTTTTTAGATTTCAAAGATGCATCTTAGAAAACCAAAAAAATATCAAATTTTTATACTGGTACATGTACAACCATTGTAATTAATTTGGCTTCCTAACTAAAATATATGTTAAAATCTCAGTTATGTTCAGAGCAACAGCTTACTTAATAGATTTTTCAACATCTCCTGTAAATTACAAGTTTCCCCTTCAAGACAATTACAAACATCTGTCAGATTTAAGTAGTTTGAAATGTTTTTTTATTATTATTATTATAAACACATACTTAAGAGTTGTTGGTGTAAGTAGACAAGAGGTTTCAAAAGAATGGAGTAGTGGGTAGGTTTGCAAAATATAATATCTCAGCAAATCAAAAGATGGGGGGGGGTCTTATTTATATTCTAGATTGTAAATGTTTGAAGTTTGAGTTTCTAATTTGTTACCTACTATAGATATGTGATAGTTGTAA